GCAAGTCGGCGGTGGCTGAGGCGGATCCTGGGCAATCAGGACCACCGACTCACCATCACGAATGCGTATGATTTGATAGTGGCGGACACCCTGGCGGCCATGCTGCGTGAAAACGTGCACGTCTTCAACGCAGCATGCGGCCGCGTGGGGCCGGGGTAAACGCCCCGGGTAGGCGAGTATCCGGGGCGCCCCTTGGGTAGCTGAGAGGCAATAAACACAGAGGTCAAGAAAAAATATGGAAACAGAAACTTACACATAAAGAATTTTGCTACCACAGAAAGCAACAGGAAAACATCCACGGAACGGAGAGAATGCAGAGGTTATCAACGGTACGGTAGGGGCAATGAAATTGCCCTAAATGCGGAGAGCAGTTTTGTTATACGAGCACAGTCTCCGTACCAATGCCAAAGGATTCAAGAGGGTGTTCTTCTATACATGTGGAATATGACGCCCAAGAGGGTACAGGATGACTGTTTTTTCTTTCATTATTCCTTCCTGGCCTGGTTAGTTTAGATCTTAATTTACTTCTTTGTTTTTATTTCTTTAGCGGGCAGGGTACGTTTTTACATTGGGTATTGGGGTTTCAGTATTTTTTACTTTTTCGGATAGAGTGTAGGAGTGGGTGTTGGTGTGGAAATGGAGGCCACGTAGTTGGTCACAGAATTGGTGCAATCAGGTTGGGGCACTATTCACGGTCGCGGGGCGACCATCATTAAGAAAAAATTATTGATACAGTCTCTGTACTATATTGTTACGCGAAGCTTTCATTTCCGCTTCTGGCGGTTGTGTTTGGTCAGTTTCTTTTGGCCCGGGTCTACGGACCCTTTTTTTATGGTTTCCCATACCCTTGTGCAACTGGTTTCCAGTTTTTTTTTAGCTTTACAATTATCCCCTACGTTCCATTTCCTTTGTTTTTTTGTACTTTTATGTATTTTGTATTTTTTTGACTTTGCTGTGTTTTTTTTATTTTTGCGGCGGCGGCCACTCATTTCAGTGCAGCGCGACGGCAGCACGGCTGGGCGGCAGTCTTGAAAGACGGAGGAATGGCTTGTAGAAAAGAAAGGCATGGCTTTTTGCACATTTGTGTGAACTGTTTTTTTTTCTGTTGGTGCTGTTGTTTTTAGATGCTTACTTGTTTTTTGTTGCTGTTGTTTATGTTGCGGCAAGAAACACGTTTGATTGTTTTTCTTATTGTTTTTCTGTCTTTGGTTGCGCAGTGGTTATTATTATTATTGAGCTTCTATAATAGATCTGTGCCCAGAAGTGGCGGAGGCAGATGATAGCGTGTTTTTTTGTGTTGTTTTTTGGTTTTTGTCAAATAACTTGTTTTAAATTTTTGTGTTGTTTATTGATCGCCTAATGTTTGTCCACAAAAATACACGGCGTCAGAGGGCGGCAAATGCGGTACTTTTTCTTTTTTTCGGCAGCCACCCCAGAAAACCGCCGTTAATCCCAGCGATGAGGGGTGCGTGGTTGAAAGGCCCTGTTTTTGATTTTTTTTGTTTGTTTGCCTGCTTTATTGCTTACGATAATAAATGACTCCCGCTTTGTGATTTTCCAAAGGTCCCGGAAATTATATAAAACAAAAGACGTCCAACAAATTTGTTACTTTGGATTGGCCTACGAGTCGCTGTGAGCCCTTTCGGAGATGTGATGTGCACTGTACCAGTATGGTGTGCCTTTCCCCACCGACTGCAATTTTCTCTTTTTGGTGTGTGTGTCTGTAGAACAGTAGTGGAGGACAACATTATTATTATTATTTTTTTTTTTTTGTGGAACAGTAGTGGAGGACGACATTATTATTATTATTATTTTTTTTTGTGGAACAGTAGTGGAGGACGACATTTTTTTTTTTTTTGCGGAACAGTAGTGGAGGACGACATTTTTTTTTTTTGTGGAACAGTAGTGGAGGACAACTTTTTTTTTTTTTTGTGGAACAGTAGTGGAGGACAACATTTTTTTTTTTTGTGGAACAGTAGTTGAGGACGACATTTTTTTTTTTTTGTGGAACAGTAGTGGAGGACGACATTTTTTTTTTTGTGGAACAGTAGTGGGGGACGACATTTTTTTTTTTTGTGGAACAGTAGTTGAGGACGACATTTTTTTTTTTTGCGGAACAGTAGTGGAGGACGACATTTTTTTTTTTTTGCGGAACAGTAGTGGAGGACGACTATTTTTTTTTTTTGCGGAACAGTAGTGGAGGACGACATTTTTTTTTTTTTGTGGAACAGTAG